TCTGGATGCAGCTCTGATCCACAAAGAAGAACCAGTTGGTGAGGAGAGAGATCAGAACCTCCAGAGGAAGCCGCTGTGGAAGTTTAGAGCTCACAGTATCTAAGGAAGGAAAGGATGAGGGGGCAAAATCAGACACCCAGGCTTCTAAAATACATGTTCCAAAAATTCAGAGAAAAGAATTATAAGCTATGATTCTCAAGAGAATATAGTTCAAGAGGTTTTAAAATTGAAGTCCTGACAATAAAGCCACAAATTATCCTGAGTTTAAAAAAAGAGGGCAGCATCTAAAAATATATGTGGCTGCACAGAGAGTGCTCTAAAATCTGCACACAGATTTTAGAAGTTCTCATGTTCTCGAAAACTACTGGCATACTTTTAAAGCGTATAAATTTGAATATAGCAGAGCAGTAGTTAGAAAAGAGCTTTTGGAATCAGACAGCATTTGAATCCTGGCTCTGCCACCTACTAGCTGTGTGACCTTGGATAAGTCCTTTAGCCTTTCTGGGCTCTGATATCTAAATTTGTAAAATGGGGGTAACTGTAACCACTTTATAAGGTAGCTGTGATTGAAATGAAGTGGTGCGTGTGAAATCCCTACTAGGGTGGCTAGCACATAGTAAATGCTTGACTTTAGGCATTATTACCATTCTATAAAAATTACAAGGAGATACTCTTAATCAAAGGGCATCTGTAAAAGGATAGCCCAAATGGGTAACAATCGTACTGGGAAGGCTAAGGACAGGTTGATCTGACATGTGCGAAACTTATGAGGAACACACAAGTGTTCTTTTGGTAAAATCATCAAGAAGGAAGGTAGACGTCAGGCCTGGAACAGCCAATGCGTTGTCAGCACATTGCATTTGCAGTGTCTTTGCAACACCCCACGGCGATGCGCTGTCAGGGCAGAGGCAGGATAAGGACTCCTGCCACTGCTGTTTCTCCCTTGGAATGACTGACTGCTTGAACAACAAACACAATTAAGATGGAAATTAAAGCAGTGAGGATCATCCCTCACTACCTTACATAAGTTCTGGTCTCTGTTATGAGGCACTGACAGAACTAGCAGATGTGATGGAGGAGCCTTGGTCTGCATGAGCTGCCTTGAAGAACCATGGGGAGAGAGAGAGCGGTCAGGATCTTGCGAAAGAGTAAATGTGGCTTTGATTTTCAAAAATAGGGGAAAAGATAGTTTCAGGAAAGAGAGGTACACTTCGTGTCCACCCCCAGCGAAGTTCTAGAAGCGATGGTTAAATGGAGATGACTATTGCAGTGGCCTCCTAAGTGACCTCTCCGCTTCTGCCCTCGGCCACCCCACACGTCCATGCTCTGTTCTCAGTCTAGCAACCAGAGGGATCTGCTTGAGCCAAATCATGCCACGTCTGCTCAGGAGCCTCCAGTGTCTCCCCTCTTACTAGAAGGAAAAGTCCAAGTCCTTCCAGTGGCCTATGAGGCCCAGCATGATCGCCCGGCTACTTCTCTGCCCTCAGGTCTCCCAGGTCCTCTCCCTGCCCCCCTCCCCCTTGCTCCGGACACAGCGTCCTTGCTCTTGGCGTTCTCCCTTACTTTCCTCTCTTTCTGGACCACTCTTCCCCCAGATAACTGGTTGGTTCCCTCCCCCACAGCATTGCTCAAATGTCAGCTTCTCAACAAGGTCTTTCCTGAACCCCCCTATGTAAACCCCCCTATCCCGACTCATCCTCTTCCCTGACTTATGTTTTTCTCTATAGTACTCACTACCACCCAATATGCTATATATTCTTATTTGTCCTGTTCATCAACTTCCTTCCCTTACTAAAATGCAAGGTTCATGGGCTCAGAGATTTTTATCTGCATCCCTAGTTCTTAGAACTGTGCCAACCGCATAGTCACGTTCATTAAACATTTGTTGATTGGGAGGCAGAAGGGAAAATGGGAAGAAGGGAGGTGACTGGAACACTTAGAAAGAGGTCACTAGACCAGGGTGACCAGCCATCCTGGTTTTCCCAGCACTGAAAGAGGTCCTGAAACAAGGGACTTTCAGTGCTGAGACCAGGAAAGTCCCAGTTGTTCACCCTACAGTAGATCAGCCAACCTCATTGACTTCTGCGATACGGACACTGGTATGAGAGCTGCCAGGACTGCCTCACACTCTCTCCTGCTATTGGCACAGCCCTCCAGGAAGTCTGCCTCCTGCCTCACACTCTCTCCTCCTATTGGCACAGCCCTCCAGGAAGTCCGCCTCCTGCCTCACACTCTCTCCTCCTATTGGCACAGCCCTCCAGGAAGTCCGCCTCCTGGGAGAGTGGAGGAATGTGGGCCGCAAGAGAGTGTATTTAAGTGGTTTGTACTGCCAGTTGGCTGAGCGGCCACCTCAGATGCGTTGATTGATGGGCCCGTGTCGGGCTGGTAGGAAGGCTGCTGTGGTAGTGAGCCGCAGAACTGTGTCCTGGCCCGGGTCTGCTCCACCATCTGTCTGGGCTGCGGCTGAGGACAGAAAGGCAGGATAGGATCCTGCAGTGGCGTGCTCCCGCCAGCGACATATACAGTCAACAATTGAGCTGGGTTTTGAAATCACCTCAATAGATGGAAGTGACAGGCTCTCTGTAACAACTTAAAATTCAAACAGTGGTAAATATTGCTTTCTATTTAGGGTTTAAAAAAAGCTACCTTGAATGTCCAGAAGAGACCAGGCTAAATAGCCGTTTTGTTTGTTTTAAACCCAGCACGTTTTGTTGCCCACGCACTCAGACTAGTTTGAAAGCTAACTGCAGCTCAGCTCTCTTTCCAGGAGAAAAGAGGCCACTCACTCACGTCCTTTCCCCGGCTCACCTCACTGCTCTGGGGCAGCCACACGCTCAGGACCAGGGAATCCAGCTGAGAGAAAGGCTAAATCACCATAACTGCCTCCCCCCCACCAAGAAGGGATTCGTTTTCAAGGGCTCAGTGCCAGGAGCCCCTGAGGACATGGAAACTGGGAGCCAGAGCTGCATCCCTCTTCCTCAGGGCTCACAGCTTCCACGGTTCCCTCAGGGCTTCCTGCCTATAACCGAGGAGTCTTTGGGAAAGGAGGGTAGCAAAGATGTCTTTCAACTTCCAGCCTTTCCATCCTCCGACCGCAGGTACCTTTACAAGTATTTCGTGCTTGCAGGACCTAATGTGCGCTGGGGTCACTTTTTGGGTTGCTGTGACCGAGCCCTGAGGTCTTAGAGGAGTTCTGGGGTGGTAGGGGAGGAGTTGATGGGAGAGGGTTGCAGGGCTCACAGGCTTTACAGGGCTCTGGGTGCTTAAGGGACCAGCACCAGGATTCTCATTGCCATGTGGGCCCATCAAAAGAGGCAGCACCTGCCCTTCATCCTAGACAGGAGAGGCGCTGATTTCTAACTTCAGTTTTCCATGATCAGCACAGGCCCTGGCCTGCCTCTTCCCCACAGAGCCTCTGGATCACAGAGGATGAACCCTCACCAATGGCAAATAGGCGGGATCCCACAGGCCAGCCCCAGTTAGTTGGCGTGGCTGCCCAGAACTTGGCTATGATGGTCCCAAAGCTTTCCCAGCTCCCTCCCCTAAAGAACACGTAAATTGCCCATGGGAAAGAGCACACGTGGATGGAACCTGGTGACTCAGGGCAGTGGGCTGTCATTTTGAAATGGGGTCGAGCAGCCCAGCAGTAGAGGGGGCAGGAGCTGAGGGACCATCCTCCAGCCCCGCCCCAACTCTCTCACGGGACCATAACCTGTACTGCTGTGTAGAGAAAAGCTGGGACCCTGAGCAGAGGAAGTGAAACATTCTAGCCACCGCAGGCTGGAGCTCCATGGTTCTCCAAGTGTGGTCCCCAGACCAGCAGCAAACTTGTTAGAAATGCAATTCTCAGATCCCACCCAAATCTAGATCAGAACCTCTGGGGGTAGGACCAGCCGTCTGTGTTCAGTCAGCCCTCAGGTGATTCTGATGCAGGCTGATGTGTGAGAACCCTTCTGCCTAAGAGGAAAAGGCTTCTAAAGTGGCTGTTTGCTGAAGGTCTTCAGAGAACCCTGCTCTCTTTGTGCTTACCGAAAGAGAAGCATCATCGTCTGGCTTGGGGTGAGTGTTCTCTTTCTAGGTTCCATGGGGTCTGATGCTCTATTGGGCTGGCTTCCACCTGTGTCTACATTTGCAACCTTAGGGTGACTTAGACCCCGCTTCCTATGAGTCTGCTAAACGTGTCTGTAGCGCAGGAGACGTCAGGTTCACGTGGTGCTTCTTTTCGGTCTCAAGAGACCCATCTCAGAAACAAGAGCTGTGGCCCAGCAGCCTTCTGCTCTGGAACCACCCTTCGGCTGCCGCAGCAGCCCCTCCCCTTGGCTCTTCTGCGTTTCCAAAGATGTTTCTCTTCACATTCGGTCCTAAGAAGTCAATCCATGAAAAAAAAATACTGCAAAAGCGAACCAGGCTCACTGCAGCTTATACTGAAATGGACCAGAAAGATAAATGCAGCAATTTTCTTGTCCCACAGCCCTCCCCTCCCCAAATCCTCCGTCACCCCACAACCCCCTCCTGCCCCAGTGAGCCCAAGTTCTTGCTGGCTTGATGATCTGCAATTCTCTGCATGACTCTGCCTCTTGGGTTTGTTTAATTAGAAATAGGATGGGAAGTGCTTCCCATGCACTGGCATGTTAATTGCTTATCACAGAAAGAGAAGGGGTGACAACATTTGGTGATGGAAATTTCCACTCTCTCCATCTCCAGGTTTTCCTCCATTTTCCTCTCCCGCCCTCTCCTTGTCTCTTCTTTCCTCTCGTGCCAGCCTCTCCTGCTCTTTGTCTCTCTTCTCCAGATCTCCAGGCCCTTTGGGGAGCAGGCCCAGAGGCGCCTGGCAGGTCAGAATTCAAACCTAAAGGGAAAAACTGTGCTCTTTCGCACCACGTTCCTCTCTCTCTCCTCCCTCCTCTCCCATTCCAGCCCCTTTCTGTCACCCTCAGGCTTTTAAGAGATTCAGAGCAGAGAGCTCTTCAGTCATACTCAGTATTCAAAGGATTATTTTTCTTTTGTTTCCTTCCCCTCCCCTTATTATTGTTATTCTTATTTATTTTTATTTTTTACAAAACAGGAGAAAAGAATGAACTGGGTTGGGGGAGGTGACACATTTCTCCACAAAGGTACAAAATTGCCTATAGAAAGTCAACCTCAGAGTGCAGGCCAGAAGGGTGCCAAGAAGAGGCGTTCCTGGGCATCCCTCTCCCACGTGTCCTCCTGATCCAACTGGGGCCCCACTTTGGGAGCAGTCCCCCGAGGTGGGGAGGAGAGGCCTCCTTCAGCTCTTGCCCAGAAGGGGAAAGAGCAAGCAACTGAGACTGTACAGAGACAGAGAAGAGGAGGGGGTGCATCCTGTGGGCCAAGGGCCTGAGGACACAGGCAGGGGACATCCAGGCCCAGGAGCCTCTGGGCACACAGACAACTGGGGAGGTGGGCAGCTTTAGCCAGAGTCCTTCCTGTTCCTTGGAGATGCTCCTCAGAATGGTAGCAGAGGAGCCCTCAGAAGGTAAGGGCAGTTTCTGGAGGCCGCAGGAGCACCCCCTAGGGCCACAAAGCTGGCTGTCTTGGTCCAGCTGCCAGGCCTCAAGCACGTGGATCCATGTTACTTTCCTGGCAGGGTACCTGGCCCAGATTGCTTCCCTTTTGGTAAAAAGTAGTCCTAGTTATTTCTCTACTGCTGAGAACAGGCTGAGCTTCAGGAATTTTGTGACAATGGTGGTGACAGTGTCTCCCCTTCTGAGGACCTGGGCAGCTTCCTCCCCGGATTCCAGTGCAGGACAAGGGGTGCAGATACCACCCGGGCTGAGGGGGTGCTCCAGCCCCAGAAAGCCCAGGCTGGAAGGAGAGGCCGCCCACCCACTCCCTGCCTGGGCTGGCCAGTGCCAAGGTGGGCTGCCAGCCCGGCTGCCAGCAGGAGGATGGTGAGAGCCAGGATGGCTATGAGCCCAGGTTGGTCCCCTAAGGCTCTGTGACAAGGAGTGGCCTCTTTAGTCCTGGCCCATACACATGCCAACTGGGTGTGGGCATCAGCAAAGGCCACTTGCAGGCAGGCCCAGTACTCCGTGGCCTGAAGGAGGCGGGTGATGTTGTAGCTGTGGGTACCCCGTGGCAGGCGGGCCACAGCAGTGGCCCTGTGGCCCTGGAGGGCAGAGGCACTGGACCAGGTGAGGTTGGTGGAGACTGTGTTGGGTGGGGAGACCCAAGATAGCAGGATGTGATAGGGGTGAGTCTCCTGCACCTGGAGTTCCAGACCCCATCCCTTGCCTCTGCCTGGCTGCAGGGGAGCCCGGCCAACAACCACACTAACCGTCTTAGTGTCAGCCCCTACCAGGTTCTGGGCCACACAGGTGTACAGCCCTGCCTCTTCCGCTGTCACCCTCCGCAGCTCCAGGGTCCCCTCAGGGTACACCCGGTACTTCCTGCCTGCCCGGGCAGCCGTCAGTCGAACCCCAGCTGGAGTGACCCAGTAGATCTCGGGTTCTGGTTCAGCCAGCGCCCGGCAGTGCAGCACCAGGCTCTCTCCACTGGCCACCTGGAGGCTGGGGGGGAAGCTGCGGGGGGAGATGAGGGGCAGGCAGTGGTCCGTCATCTCCCGGAAGGGCACCTCCCGCACTGGGCGGCGCTGGAGGTCTGGTGGCTCGGCACACAGGGTGGACTGAGGCTCGATGAAGCGGACATGGGTGCCCGTGGCATTGGCCCAGCGGATGACACAGTCACAGCGGATGGGGTTGCCATGGAGACCCACCTCCTGCAGGTTGGGCAGGGACTCCACTGTCTGCTGGTGCAAGGCACTGAGAGCATTGTTGTTGAGCATGAGGGTCTCCATCTGGGGCAGGTGATGGAAGGCGCGGGGGTGGATGAAAGACAGCCGGGGGTTGTTGGTGATGTCCAGCTTGGTCAGCTCAGGGAGGTTGACCAGGGCAAACTTGTCAATGGAAACCAGCTCCTCCATGTTGTTCAGCCCCAGCTCCTTGAGGTGCAACATGTTGGCAAAGTCCCCGGGCCCCACCCGCTGGAGCGGGTTCTTGTTCAGGTCTAGGAACTTGAGCCCAGGCACCTGCTCCAGCGCCCGCCGCGGTACCCGGGCCAGAAGGTTGTCATAGAAGGAGAGGCTCTCCAGGCTTTGAAGCCCCTCCAGGGCGTAGTCAGAGATCTCCCGCAGGTTCATGCCTGCGAGCACCAGGCTGCGCAGGTTGGCCAGGGGCCGGAAGTTCATGTCCAAGATAGCGTCCACTTTGTTGCCGCCGATCATGAGGATCTCCAGGCTGGGCAGCATCTCGAACCAGCGGCCGTCCACGGCCCTCAGCAGGTTGGAGTTGAGGTGTAGCCGCAGCAGGTTGCTGAGGCCGGCGAAGGCCCTTGGGGCGATGCGGTAGAGCTGGTTGTGGTTGAGATAGAGTTCCTGAAGGCTGGTCAGCCCTGCAAAGCTGTGGTCCTCCAGCCGCGTCAGCTGGTTCTCCTCCAGGTGCAGGCTCAGCAGCTGGGGCAGGGCACGGAAATCACAGTCTCGGGTGTCTGAAAAGCTGTTCTGGGACAGGTCCAGCTCTGTGAGATTGGCCATGTAGCCGAGCTCACTCTGGTCCACGCGGACGATGCCGTTGCTCTGTAGCAGCAGGGTCTGCGTGCCTGCGGGCAGCGCCGGGGGCACAGCTGTCAGGAATAGGTCATTGCAGTCCACGGTGGTGGCCTCGCGGTAGGACGATAGGGGTGTATACCAGGGCCGGATCTGGCAGGCACACCGAGGGGGGCAGGGCACGTGCCAAGGTACCACGGGCACAGTGGCAATGGCACCAGCCACCCAAGCTAGCAAGAGGGGGGCCACAAGCAGCCTCATGGTGGAGCTGCAGGGCAGGGGACCATCCACAAGAAGAGTCTGGAGTCCCTGTGCTCTTAGCGGTTTGCAGGCTGAGGGTCAGCAGCCCTGCCAGGGCCCGGGGAACCACTCTCCCTGGGCAGTCATTCTATGCAGGGATGGGTGGGCATCATTTCCTGCCCTCCTGGGTGCGGATCTCCATCCTTGTCCACTGGCGCTCCGTCTGCTCACTCATTGCCATGCCCCATCAGGGCAGCCCTGGAAGAAGAGGATGCAGAGTTAAGGAGGTTGCAGAGAAGCTGAATCTACTCCCTCCTCCTGTGTCTCCCCTGTTTGACTCAAGAGGTCAAAGGAGCTGAGAGGGGTGGACAAGATCAGAGCCAGGGCTCCTGGATTCTGTCCTACAGTCCTTAGGCTTTGTTGTCCTTTTCTTTGATCTGCTGGGGGAGTGACTGGGAGTCTTCAAGGAAGGGGCAAGAGATTGAGCCTTGGAAGCTTCCAGTATAACTCACAGAAGGTGTGTGTGTGTGTGTGTGTGTGTGTGTGTGTGTGTGTGTGTAGGAGAGGGGATGGCTGAAATTGTCATCTTCAGAGGAGTAGATTCTCCAACCTTCCTCACATCTCTCCTCACTGAGTAAATGGGAAATAAAGCGACAGTTTTCAGACATCCCTCTGAGCAGTGTGGGTAGAGGGTGGTAGAAACAAATGCGGCTTCTAAATTCCAGGGTGCGCTCCCAGGACTTTGAAAGTTGAAAGGCAGTGGATCCTGACCCCACACCCAGACAGGCTGGGGAAGTGGGGTGGTCACCTGGGGTCTGCTTAGGCTCTCCTGGGATAGGGGACAGCTTTGGCTTTTGCCAACTTCCCTACCTGGAGGCAGGGGCTTTCCCTTCCCCTGTAGCCTAGCCAAACTGCCAGGAGGAGGTGGTGGGTTTAAGAAGCCTGGGTCTGAGCACCTCAGTCCTGACCATACGTGATCTGGTCTCAGCAAATTCTCCTGGCTTTTGCCATCCTATTGACTCACTGTGACCAACCTTTCAGGTCATATTTACCCAACACTCCCCTCTCCTGTCTCCCAGACAACTCTCAGTTGTTCTTCAAGACTCAACCTAAGGTCAGTCACCTCCTACAGAAAGCTGCTTCTAACCCTCCCCACCCCTGGATGGCTAAGGGGCCTGCCTTGTGCTCTCACAGTACCCCATGCTTTCTTCTGTCACAGCCCTGATCACATCATGTGGAAATGTCTCCCCAATTGGGGACCTGTCTCGCTCATCATCATGCTGGTAGCCCAGGACAGGTGCCCAGTGAGGGTTGATCGTATAAATCAATCTCTATGGTCCCAGGGCCCCTTCCTCCAGGAGGTTGGGTCCCTACCCCCACTCCAATCTAGAATCCAAGCCCCCGCTGTTCCTTCCTCCTGGGTATGGACAATCAATCCGGGTTCTCTAGAAGAACCCATGGCCAGGATGCTTCGCCCTAGACGAAAGTCCAGCCTTGGCCTAGAACCGAGATGGGCGAACCAAAGGGGGCCCCTGGGCCTGGTCTGACTCCTGAGTGGAGGTCTGACTGGGTAGTTTTCCAGCTGCAGACATCAGTGGAGCGCACAGTTATTGAATGCCTGCTATTTGCCAGGGCCTTTCAAAGACTGCATCTTATTTCATTTAACCCTCATGAAGAGTCTACAAGATAAGCATTAATGCCTCCAGTCTGCAGATGCAGAAACCGAGGCTTGGAAGAGGTTAAAGCATTTGGCTCAAGCCATACAGCTGGTAAATGTCAGGAGACACGAATTCAGAGGTTGTGCCATTTACACTGTACTTCTCTACCCCCAGATCTGGCCCGACCCTACCCTGGACACCCTGAGCTGCACTGGCTGCCGAAGCAGCAGGCTGGGTGCCCATTCTTGTCCCCTGAGGAGATGACTCCTTATCAGGGAGCTGCAGGAAGCTGGAGCTGTGTCTTCCACCACCCTCCAGGCAAGTGCCTCTCAGCTGGCCAGCGGGGCTCTTTGCCCACCTCATCCCACTTCCAGGATGCGGGGGCTGGGGAGGGGAGCAGTTGGAGGCCTCCCTTGAGCAAGGGAGCGGCACGCCTCTTTACATTTGACTACTTCCCACCTTCCTCTGCAGCTATTTCTGAAGGTGGGAAAAACAACATGACTTAAAATGCACAGAGGTTTTGAGTGGGGGTGTTGTGTACACTGACACATAAAACTCAGGGCAAACACACGTGCACACCCGCATCCACGTGCAGAGGGGAGCCTGGAGTACTCAGCCACCGAGGCCGGTGAGCGGTGGTCAGGAAGCGTGGTGGGGATTCTGCCGTGTGCTATGTGAGTGGAGAGGCAGCAGGGACAGGCTGAGTCCTGGGATGACTCCGTCACGGAACTAGGGCTGTGGTCCTGCCACACGTACACACCAGAGGCTCCTGCCTCCTGCCCAGGCCTCACCCAAGAAAGTAGAACCCACCAGCAAAGAGATCTCACTATTACTTACCACTTCCAACCAGAGCACCCTGGGAAAAGTTCACTGCTCTGAGCATCTGTTCCTTATGTGTAAAATGAGCTTGTCATTAGGATTAAAGGAACTGGGTGTGGTGCACACAGAGAGCCCAGCACGGCTTAGTTCTCTTTCATCTCCCAGGGTTGGGAAGCTCCCCAGCTGTAGGACTTCTTAGTGGGGGATAGAAGTTGGATCCCAGGACTCAACAAGCCCCTATTAAGCTTGCCCACTGTGGGCCCAGTGTCGCCCCCAGGTGGGATGGGAGCTGTGAGCGGGACTAGATAAAACGTCACGCCTTTAAGAGTGCCACCCTGGTAGGACCCAAAATGTAAAATGATTAGGAGAGCCCAAGACAGTTCGTTAAGGGGAGAGGAGGCTGCAGTGGGTGGAGAGGGCCTTCAGACCTCGCCCGAGCCCCAGGTTCCTCCTCCAACATCTCTGTCCTGGCACCTTTGTCCTACCGATGCTCAACTGTATGGATGGGATAGAGAAGCCATTTAAAAGTTCATTAAAAACGTCCAGAGATTTGCCTTTCCCTCCACTCCAGGCTCACCCTCCTCCTCACCCCTGTGGCTGGGCTGGGGGGCGGGTGGTGAGCCAGAGCTCCAGCCCCTCAGCCAGGAGCCACGGGCTGGGGCTCCGCAACCAGAGGCCCAGAGACGGGCAGCGGCTGGATGACTCAATGTTCATACACACCTCTGGTCCCAAGGCTTGGCAAAGGCCCAGACAAGTCCTCCCCGTCACTGCTGAGCACGCAGCCCCTTCCAAGATAGAACTCAGAGCTGCCCACTCACCTGCCATCACCACTTAAGGCTGTCTTGCACATGGCCCACTCATGCAGGCTTGATTAGCAATTTCTGCTGGGAGCCGGAGCTGCAGAGAAAGCTAATTGTCTTTTATCTATAATCTCCCGGGGTGAGCAGGAGTTCAGACTATCACGCGTGCGTTTTCCCCAACTGGATTTCAAGCTCTTTGCCGTAGGGGCTATGTCTTGCATGCTTTTTGTGTTCCCGGTGAGCCAAGTGTAGGATTGAGCATGCAGAGGGTACTGGTGAGTGGATACAAATTGTGAAGTGTGTAACTCTCCCATCAACCCTGTGTGCAGACAGAGAAGGGATTGTTTAGTCTCATTTTACAGGGGAAGCAACTGAAGCAAGGACAGGTTAATTGACACATCAGAGCTTGCACAGCTTCTGACGTGGTGGGGTCAGAATTCAAAGCCAGGTCTTTGACTCTGTAACCTGCCCCACCAGCCCAGCCAAGGTTCACTGCCTGGCAGCTCAACGCCCACCTTAACAGGAGCAGAGTGCAGGGCTGGTGGCCCAGAATGCCTGCTTCAGGTGCCAGTCCTTTCAGAGATGAATGGGTCCCCTGCTCCTCCCCAACGCTACCTGAGGGGGCCCCTCAGACACCATTCCTTCATTTCTGGCTAGAGTGACTTCCTTGGGGGACACATGGGGAAGACCCTGTTCCTCTGAGTGTGTGGCTGGGCCTGGAAGCACAGGGACAGACAGAGCCAGCAGGCTGCACAGAGACCTCAGCCTGCCTTCGGATTGGGGGCTGGGTGCTCCTCTTTGTTCAGGGACAGCTGGAGACATGACCGTCAGTGACAGGGGAAGCAGGGTTGCCCGCTCCAGGAGCAAAGTTTCTCTTGGAAGGGCTGGCTCTGCAAGCCCCGACGGACCGACCTCCTCCCGGCAGCGGCTCTGGAGAGAAAGTATGGAATTGATCCCGTACACTCCCCATTAAACTCCAACCCTTGGCAAAGCCCTAAATGAAGAATTTTGGAGAAGCTGACGTCAGCAGCCCGAGCTGCTCTTCTCCCTTTCCTCCATCTCTGGCCCTGCCCCCAGTACAGTCCCGGGCTCCTGCCAGCACTGACAGCGTTGCTCCTCCAGGGGGCTGCTGGATGCCAAGCCTCTCCCTCCCCCAACTCCTCTCCCCTCCCCACAGCCTCTGCCCAGCCCCCCTGAGCTGGGAGCCCTCCGGAGGGAGGAACAGCCAGTGGCAGTGATCAATTGCCTGGCCTTCGCTGCTGCTTCAGTGCCAGGTCTCCCTGAGCTGCGGAGACAGAAGGGCAGCATAATTGAGTGTAGCACTGATAAACTCCGGCCTCCTCACCAGCAGATAAGCGCTGGGTTGGGGGATGCAGAGGTGGGGGAGGCCATCCCTCCATCTGTACACCTGGCCTCCGCTCCTCCCGAGAGGTGAGCATGGCCCCTCACTCCCACCTCTCATTTAATCACAGACAGCCAGGACCTCAGAGCTGGAGGAGACCTCAGCATTTATCTAGTCTTCCAGAGTCTGAATTCCATAAATAACTTATGCAAAGCGGGAGTGGTGGAGCGGAAGGAGCCTGGGCTCTGTGATCAGAGTTTGAGTCTGGCTCTGCCGCTCACTGTGTGACCTTGGACAAAGTTAGACGACCCGACCCGAGCTGGGAAATGAGGATGAGACCCTCTCACAGAACTGCTGTGAGGAGCCAGGATGCAAGGCCTATGACGTGCCTCTTAGTTGCCTTCGTTGCCCCCTTCACCATTGCCTCTCCTCCCACCTTAGCCCCTACTTCTCGTCTCTCACCTTTCGTCCTAAACTTTTTCTTTCTATTATGGTATAACGTATGTACAGGAGAGTACATAAATGGCATGAATCCCAAGTGCACAGCCTGATGAATTTCTACCTTAGTAGATACCAGTACAACCACCACCCCAGCAAGATATAAGCATTTCCAGCCCTCCCAAGGTTCCTATGCGGCCCTTCCCAGTCAATGTCCAGCCCCCACCTGGAGTTAACCATTGTCCTGACTTCTATCATCATCCATCAGTTTCATCTTTTAAGCCCAGAATTCCCCTTCCTTCTCCATCGCAACTTGGAACCAGGGTCTTTGGAAACAGCTGACTCTGGCTTTAGGGAACGCCAGAACCTCAGACCTGAAATTCACTTAATTCATCCTCCTGCTTCATAGCGGCTATAGCTTCTCAGGGTCTCACACTTAATCAGAGATCTCCAGGAAGGGAGACTGATTCCTCTTTCTTGTTTTACAACTCCCATATCTAGAAATTGCTCTATGCCCTAGGGTCCCCTCTCCGGTTGGAATCCTATGACTTGGGCCTGTGAGCGTCATGCTGCCTTGAGGCAAGAAGATGGCAGGATAACCTCCTGGCAGCCCTTCCCCAAAGCCCTGCTGGGTCTTGGCCACCTCCTGGGGCAGCATTGCTGGGCCCTTTTTGTTGCCAGACCCCTAGGTATTCTGATTACAGAATCTGGGGCACCAGGCAGAGGACAAATTGGGGAGTGACCAGGAAGGAGAGACCCAGACTCACTTGTAACTGCCCCAGACCTCTCCATTCGCCCATTTCAGAGGCTCCTTGCACTCAACTTGTCCCAAGCCCAACATCTCCCACCAAACCTGCTCAGGAGGCACTGCCATCCACCAGTCTCCAAGACTGGAAATCTCCACCATGGTGACGCGTCCCTCCCACCTCACACACACCCACCACAGTGCTCACGCTAACGTTCCCTTTTCATTTCTTGTCTTGACTCTCACAGCAGCCTCCTCACCCTTGAGTGACCCTCTCATTCCCAGGCGCCTCCGGCTCCTCCTAGACTAGACTTGCTACTTCCTTCTCCTCTGCGGGCCTCTCACTCAACCAGCAAAACGTCTCCCCAACTTCAACTATCAAACTCCTCTTCAGCCGTAAAAACCCATCCCAAATGCCACGTCCTCTGTGACATGTTCCCAGAGGCCCTCCTAGAAGGGTGGTTACACCCACCACAGTCCCGGAGACTCTGAACAGACCTCCGCGGTAACAGCACCTTCCTTATCGTCATTCTGAGAGCCTGTGTTCTCAACCAGGCTGTCAGCTCCTGGAGGAAAGGATGGTTTGTTATTTATTTTTGTCTTCTCAGAGCCTAGCGCAGTGCAGAATTTCCTGGTAAGGGTGGGAGGTGTTCTACAGCCATGAATTATGAATCGCAACCCATTAGTGGGTCATGAAAACAGTTTAAAGTGGATAACAATGTACATTAAAAAAATGAAATAGAAAATAGAGTGCACTGTATGTAGCTAGACTAAGAGTTGTTTTGAGAAATTTTTCCCCTGTTTTACACACACACACACACACACACACACCTGTGTACAGACGGATGTGATGCAAAATCATGCATTTTTGCCCTTGAGTCGCAGCTATTGAAGCTTGAAAATGATGAGTCTGCAGAGCCTCTCTGAGTGAGGTGAGTCCCTTCAACTCTAGTTGATGCCGCTGGAAGGATGACATAAATCAAAGTGTCAGAGGGAAGATACGACGCCCCCGAGTGCCTTCTGTGTGCAGGATTTCTATTTGCTGGCCACTTTAGACATACCTCATCCTATCCTCCCAACAACCCTGTAAGTAGGTACTTTTTAGGAGAGAAACCTCAAGCTCAGTGGAGACAAGGGATCACGCCCAGGTCCCACAGCTAGAATGTGGAAGAGCCTGAGTGTGAACCCAGCTGTGTCTCACACACCAGCCCTTTCTGTTTCCATGATTCTGGTGCCAGAAGCTGAATTCCAAGAGTGGAGGATACTGGGGAGACCGGAGGAGAGAAGGGAGGAAAATGAGAGGGCATCTCCTGGTGAAAGGATGAGGTTTCTCTTGTCTACCCTTGCCCTCCCCTCCCCTCTGGAGTGAGAAGAGTCAGTTCCAGTAAAAACCCTTTCCTGGCCCAGGAGGGAAGGGACTTGTTCCCAGGAAGAAATATCTACATTCCTAGGTCTCTGGACTGGCCCTGGACAGAGGACGTTGCAATTCTACTGCCTGGAAGGGAGCCTGCCTCGTTATTTCTTAAGTAGGAGTGGAAGGCGCCAGTAGGTAGCCCACAGTCATTTTTTGTCTGGTTGCACTGCACCAAAGAGGCTTCAGGGGAGTGGAGCCAGCTTTGCAGGGACCTGGAGAGCAGCGCCAGGCTGAGCTCCACCGCCGCGCGCCGCCAGCCTTCTGCTGACTTATCTGCCCATCCTCAGGAAACCTTCTCTGACCCCTCCATGCCTCTCCTGGGCTCCTCTGGGGCCTCAGCGTGCCTCCATCATACACTGGCTGTTTACTTGTCTGTCTGTCTCTCCCTCCAGACTGTGAGGCCCTCAGGGGAAGAGCTGTGCTCCAAGTGGCCAGTTCCTCCAACAGTCTGGCACACAGTAGGAGCTCAGAAGATACTTGGGGAAGGAGAGAGAGAAAGGCAAGGTAGGGCAGGGCACGAGAACAGAAGGGGGCTGTTTGCTTCAGAGCTCCTGAAGAGCAGGCGGACCTGAGTCTGGCCTCGTGAAGGAGATCCAGAGCGCACCTCCTGGAAGCACACGCCCGGGCTCCCCTGCCCTGGCTCTGGCCACTACACGGCCACTGTGGCCCTTCCCTTGATGGAGAAGGCACTTCTGACTTAACTTTCTGCCTCTGGATTCCACCCTAAGATGATCCTCCCCTTCTGGACTCCCTCAGGCGCCCCCTCTGGAAATCCTGCGGACACTCTGAGATCTTAGGTTAGCGGTTCAAAGGAGGGCTTTGGAGTCGAATCCTGGTGCTGGCTGTATGACCTTGAGCATCCTTACTCAGATTCCTCCTCTCTAATGCAGGGAGAGAGCCTACCTCATGGGGGGAAGTCTGCAAGAATGATGCCTGCTAAGTGCCTGGCGCTCACTGGAGCGCTCTTCCCTTTTCATCTACCTCGGTTTGTCTCAGGCACAGTCTCTGGCTTCCAGGCCACCTGCGTACCAGGCCCGCACCAGATGGCCTGTCCATGGTCGTGTGGCCTGCAACGCAGGCGGCCTCTCCTAGGAACCCTTCCATCTCAGTCTGACACTCCTTCCTGACGGAGCTGCCCTCTCCTGGGTCAACTTTAAGCACTCCCCGGGGCCTCCAACCAGGGTCCAGTTCTAGTCTTTAGGACTCGAGAAGGCTCTAGAACTCAGTTCATTTACAGATCACCAATGTCTGACACACTCTCACCCAACAGCTCACTCTTCCTGCCTTAGGTGAGCAGCTCCTCTGTTTGCCCAGGTGCTCCTTGGAAGGGTCGAGAGGGCCCCTCCTAGCAGAGCTCTAAATGTCCCAGCTTGACCGCAGCCTGCGGACATTCCACACTGGCCACAGGCGCAAGCCAGGGGGGCAGCCAAGCCCAGCTACTGACCTCGAGCCTCTCCCACCTCTCTCCCTATAATTTTCCCTGCCCTTCCTAGAATTAGCCAGGGGTGCTGGGCAGACCCTGCAGCATTCTTGAAAGGCTGCCCTCCTGCAGCCCTTCAGACACAGTGGATCCCTGGGAGTTAGGTGCAGCGGAAGGAGAGGGAAGGCTTCAGATAGATGCAAGCAATGCTCTTTCCTGCCCCCGTGCCTTTGCACATGCAGGGGCCTCGCCCACAAGTCCGTGTCACCGCTTGTGTATTCCCATCTCTGAAGTCTCAGTTCACACTGTCCCCCTCTGAAGTCTTCCCTAACCACTGCCCACGCTCCATTAATCAATCCCTTTCTCCTTCTCCCATCCTTGAAGAACCCATATCCACTGTGATGCTCAATTCTTCTCTCAGATTGTGAGCCCCTCGAGGGCAACTCTGTGACTCATGAGCCCAGAACTAATAATGAGAGAAGCACCAAGGCATGGCGAGGGTGGGAGGAATGCCTGGGGAGAGGGTTTGGGGCCTGGGTGGCTGAGGAGAAAGAGGCAGAGCAAATGGGGAACAGACCAGTTAAACAAGGAGAAAGGCCAAAGCTCTTCTAACGGAAAAAGAAAATGAAATCAGAATGAAAATTGATGAGGCGGAGAGAAAAGGAGGCTCGTTTCATCAGCAGCTTTGCCAGATGAAGCTCCGAGATAAATCACGAGGCGGAAGGAGCCTTGGTCTCGGTGTGGCTCACTGCCTTCTCCTTCTGTCAGCTGTCTCGGGCAGGCCTGAGAGATAAATGGCTACAGCTGAGGCCCCGCAGTGGGGTTTTTTCCATCCGCAACCGCAGTAAGAATGGTCCGTCCGTCCTCATCGCCTCCTCCAGGCCTGCGCTGCCCACGCCTTCACGTGCTCCCCTCCCGTGGCCCTCCTCTTCCCCAGCTCCCCTCCTCAGTCCCGCTGGCCTCTCCCACAGCAGCCCCCCCCATCACCCCTCCCCAGCTCGGGGTCAGGCCTGTGGAGAGCATTTGTCAGAAGCCCTGTCCAACCTTCTGTGCCCCTATCCAGCTTCTCTGAAGTCAGGGTGGGAAGGAGAGGTCAGGGCATGAGAACTGGTGGTGGAGGACATGGGACAGGACAGGGCTGGGTTCTAGTTCTGGCCTGAGACAGACCTTGGAGTGTGTCCTCTTACTTCTCTTGCCCTTGGGCTCCCCATCTGTGAAATGAGGAGGTGGGGCTAGAGCAGTGGTTCTAAAGTTGAGGTCCCTGGACCAGCAGTATCAGCTCACTTGGAAACTTGTTAGACATGCAGATTCTCAAGCCCACCCCAGACCTCCAGAATCAGAAACTCAGAGGGTGGGGCCTAGTTACCTGTGTTTGAGGAAACCATCCAGGTGAATCTGATGTATGCGCATGGAGAATCACTGGGCTAGGTTACCTCCAAGGACCCTCCAGATGAGATTAGAATTCTGTAAACGAGAACAGTGCCCGCTAGGAACGCTCAATTAAAACTATGTGGGGACTTCCCTGGTGGCGCAGTGGTTAAGAATCCGCCTGCCAATGCAGGGGACACGGGTTCGAGCCCTGGTCTGGGAAGATCCCACATGCCGCAGAGCAACAAAGCCTGTGCGCCACAACTACTGAGCCTGCACTCTAGAGCCCACGAGCCACAACTACTGAGCCCGCATGCCACAACTACTGAGCCTGTGCACTAGAGCCCGGGAGCCACAACTACTGAAGCCCGTGTGCCACAACTACTGAGCCCATGAGCCTAGAGCCCGTGCTCTGCAACAAGGGAAGCCACTGCAATGAGAAGCCTGCCCACCGCAACTAGAGAAAGCCTGCATGCAGCGACGAAGACCCAATGTAGCCAAAAATAAATAAATAAAAAGCTATTAAAAAAAACACAAAACCTATGTGTATGATGAACTCCTTATCATCATCCTGATAGATAAGAGTTGAGTTTTCCAGACCCCTCTCACCTTCTCTGTCCCGGCCACAAGGAAGCTCTCTACCCAATGAGCATTAATAGAGCCCTGACTGTGTGCTGGCGCTGTGAGGGGATAGGGATACAAGGTCATGGGGAGGGCAGGCGGGAGTCACAAATTTAAAAACAAAACAAAACACTCTATTAAAGTATGATAAGAGTTGTCACAGAAGTACTTACCAAGAGCAACAGGGGCATAGTCTGGAGGAGAGAACACAATTCTGTGAGGAAATTTCTAGAAGTCATTGAATTATACACTAAAAATGGGTAGATTTGTTGGTATGCAATGTACTTCAATAACGTTGTCTTTAACAAAACCTCCCAGGGAAGTGTTGCCTAGGTCAGCAGATGCACAGACGGTAGAAGACCATTCTATACATACTGGGGACACCAGGAGCAAAGGTGCTGGGATAAAAATGATGAAGTGAACTCTAAGAACTGAGTGGTCCCCCTTCGTTTCCAAGAGTGTAGGTGAGGTGGAGAGGCTGGAGCAGCAGGCTGGAGCCAGAACAGTCTGGACATGATACTGGAGGTAGAGGGCAGCCCAGAGGGCATCTAAGGCAGTGACTACTATAGCCATCAATACTATCTATTATGACTGGATGCACCACCTTGCAATTTAAATTCTTCCATCTCCACGATCCTGAGTGATATTCACAATAGCCTTGCAAGGTCATAGATGCCATTATCCCCATTTTAATGGAAAAGATATTAAGTGACCTGCCCAAGATCATACAGCAAACAAGTAATGGAGCCAGGGCTAAAAGACAGTATGCTTCCAAGTCCAGACTTACTTTCTCAGTGGGATGGCAATGTTAATAATGGTAGCCATTGACCAAGGACTGCCTATGAGCCAGGCCTTGGGCTGGGCTCTGAAATGAGTGGTTGCCCTCAATGCTCAAAACCACAGTAAGATGTGGGGCTTACTAGCCCCATTTCACAGATGTGGAGGATAGGTAGGTACCTTGCACAAGGACACCCAGCTGGTAGAGCCGGGACGCAGACAAGGTCTGGCGGGCTGCCAAAGCCCGTGCCCTATGCTCCGACCCCACATCACCCTCCTCCGGCTCCCACTGCCCAGCTCTCTTCAGGCCCAGAATGGAATGGGAGATTTCCAGCTGACTTCTTATTCAAATTCCCTTGAGCCTGGGCCAGCCCAAGAGAAAGAAACTGGCCCCCGGCCTAAGCTGAACAGCCCTTCTTTAAGGGAAGGCCCTTTCCAATCTGGCAGGGGCTTCTTTCCTCCAAGCCCATCAATGCCTTCTGAGCCCCACACACCCGCTGGGGGACCAGTGCCTTCCAGGGCCCGGGGCCCGGTGGATAGAAGCACTTCCATCTCCTGATCAATAAAAGGCATAATTCAGTGACTGCAGCAAGTACAAAGGAGTGTAGGTTAAATCAATATTTAGAAGCTTCGAAATGAAACTAATTAAGAGCAAGCCTTAATGACTTTTACTGCCTGGGAATAAAAAGGACAAAAAGCCTGCCCATATTTCATGGGTCCACCTTAGTAGCTTGTAATCATTTGGCAGGAGCAGAAGATGAAAAGTGCTCCCAGCCAGCCCCACTTTCTGCATTGCAGGAGAGGGGAGTACCTCGTCCTTGGTAGCAGAAGACGATGAATGGGATGGAGCACAGGACGCAAACTGCATTGTGGAAGGCCACTGGCTTAGGTCAGGGATCGTTACGGACTGAATTGTGCCCCCCCCCCACAAAAGATACAGTGAAGTCCCACTCCCAGAACCTGTGAATGTGACCTTAATTTGGAAACAGGGTCTTTGCAGATGTAATCAAGTAAAGGTGAGGTTATACTGGGTTAGGGTGGGCCCTAATCCAATGACTGGTGTTCTTATAAGAAGAGGGAAATTTGGACACAGACACAGAGACACAGGAAGAATTCAGCGTGGTGATGGAGATCGTGATTGGAGTGCTGCAGCTGCGAGCCAGGGAAGCCAGGACCAGAGCCTGGGAGAGGCAAAGAAGGAGTCTCCCCTACGGGTTTCAGAAACACCACGGCCTGGTCCTGCTGCCCTTCTGACACACTGATTTCAGACTTCTAGACGCCAGAACCTGAGACAATTAAGTTTCTGTTATTTAAGCCATCCAGTCCAGTTTGTAGTACTTTGATACGGCAGCCCCAGTAAATTCATGCTGGGATCCTGGATCCTGGTTCCCACTCTACCACTTACTAACGGTGCAAGGTTGGCAAAATACTTAACCTCCATGAACCTCAGTTTTCACCTCTGAAAAATGGGGATAAGACTAGTTCCTTCCATCTTTTCTGTCCAGAGATCTGGTTCAGATCTAATGAAAACATGAGTGTGAAATATGCTGTGAGCTGTGAGTGCTACACAAATACCACCTAGGCTCACTGCTAGTGGAAACAATCTGGGAACGACTCAGGAGCTGTCAGATGGGCAGGAAGTTCCTTGCCAGCTCACAGGGCTGTGATCCAATCAGATCACAGGTGTGAGGTGTCTTTGCCTCATTAGAGATATTATATACATGAAGAGTATTTTTATTGTCGTTCTCAACAGAGATTTTATTTGTTGTCCACTTGGCCCTAGCTTTCTCATCTGTAAAATGAAAGGGTTGGACAACATTATTAAGGTATCTTTCAGCATCAATTCCTGGGCTTATTCATATATACATATTAATATATATTTGATATATATACTTAAAGTAGCATATCTTAGCATCCCAACCTCATTCTCATCCCAGTAGCCCAGGACAATGCAGAGGGGTGCCAGCTAAGTACTGTGGTGAGAGATAGGAGTGCTGGGGTTTTGCATCCCTTTGCCCTCTACTGCCTGGGTTAAGAGAGGAACCACAGCACTTTCCTCTCTCCTCCCTCAAGCTTACCGGGCATGAAAGGAACAGGAAACCAAGCAGGCAGCAAATAAAATCTCCATCGATCACGGGATGGCTGGCATCCCAAGTCCGGCTGGCTCAGAGCTGCTCATCTTAAATAAACGTTCCTAATGATCCACTCATACTTAATGCTGGAGCTGTCTTGTTAAAGTGCAACGGAACAGGGTGGCTAAATGTGGGGCTGCTGCCTCTCTGTCGGGGCCTCTTCCAGGGCTCCAGGGCGGATAAGGTTCTCAGGTGGCCTCTCAAAATTTTGGAAGGAGCTGCACCTTGCAGCAGTGGGGTTCTCAAATGTGGGGACCAAGCTAGCTTCCTGCCATATGACAACCAACATTCTTCCCAGATGTGTATCAGTGTGGCGAATGAGCGTCTGTTTGCACGATGACCTCACAGGAAGGGAAACATCAACATGATAACCACCACGATGCTGTCACCTGAGATTCACCAGCACGGTGGTCGCCCCACCTACAGCACACCATCTCTACCAATATCACCACCCCACTGTCATCGTTGTCTTCAGCTGTGATCACTGGGGGCCCCTCGCTCACTGTCACCACCGCACATCACTCTGAACACCCTCCACTAGCATCATTATCCCTCCATCCACTACTGCCGCAATCCTGGTCATCGTAGTACCCTGATCGTCATAAGAGAACTTGTTTGGCTTCAACTCTGTGACTCATTCAATATCTGAAACAGATATGGATTTTGCCATTGGGACATATGAGACCTTATAAGGCTAACGTGAGAATGAGTGGATTCACATGTACACAGAGATCCATCCTAACAGAAGCATAAACATGGACATGTGATGTACACACGGAGAGCACCGCGCGGGAAAGGGGAGTGGGGTTGGAAGGATAGGCAGGGGACAGGTCAACCAGAGCTCCACGTTCTCCTTAGGAGAAAAAAATTACAATCCTTTGTCTCCTGTTATCTCTGTTTTCCAACTCTGGCTGCACCATAGATTCATATGGGGATCTTTTAAAATATACTGATGCCTACATCCCACTCCAGACCAGTTAAAGTCAATCGCTGGGGGTACAATGCAGGCATGGAATTAAAACTCCCCAGGATTTCTTTGTATGTAAATTTTACATCAAAAGAAAAACAAAACTGTAAAATAAAGTTGAACTCCATAGTTGTTAAAGTATTTAGGGAAAAGTGTACTCATGTCTGCAATTTACTTTAAAATGCACCAAAAATAAGATGGATTGATGGATAGATGGAAAGCGATGTGATAAAGCAAGTCTCGTAAAAGGTTAATGGTAGAATCTAGGTAGTGGGTATATTATTGCTCTCAGTAAAATTCCTTCAACTTTGCTGTATATTTGAAATTTTTCATAATAAAATACTGGGAAAATATCCAACTGGTGTTACTGTGAAGCTAGGGCTGAGAAACACTGCATCTAAAGGAAAAATCCATAAGCAAGTGATTTTCTCTTTCCTCCACCCTCCATGTGTGAAAAAACATACCCTTTCTCATCAAACCAATCAGACTCTCATCCAGTGTTCTTCCTGGGTCTCATCGCACGTAGACAAGTGGGTTTGGATGGTGCATCAGGGGAAATGGAGGCAGCTGCTCGCTGTAGGAGCGGGCGGCTAGGGGGACGCCTGGCTGCCCAGGCCTCACAGGGCTGGGCCTGGGACCCACTGCCATACCAGTTGGCCAGCTGTGCTCTGGTCAAATGGCCCCGAGTCTCCTCTTTCTTAGCAAGGATTAAATCCTTTCCCAGGAAAACCAGAGTCCATTGCAGAGTGTGTGTGTGTGGGGTGTGTGTGTGTGTGTGTGTGTGTGTGTGTGTGTGTGTGTGTGTGATACTGCGGGCAGGGGCCAGGCCCCACGTCTCATCTGTATGCTCCTCCACAGCTGGCTCGTCCTGTCGGGGGAGTGCCATGGCAACACCGTGCTCTTTAAACACAGGAGTTGGTGCTGCCATCGCAAAGCAGCATTAGGCAATTTAATTAAGGAGCTGGCAGCAGACAAACTTTGTGAGTTAAAGGCATTTTATTAAATCCCATTGTATTATGCAGCTCAGTTCCCCCAGGAGCTGCAGAGCTGGGGGAGGACAGAGGAGAATTTGCTGGGGTTTCTTTTCTCTTCTTTGCTTTTTTCTGGCCTCCTTTCTGCTTCATGAATGCATTCACTGAACGTAGGGGGACCCCAACTGTGACTGCCTGCTCCCCCCAGCCCAAGCATCAGGCCCTGGCATAAGGTCTGCTGGCTGCAGTCTGGGCGGTATGATCACCAGCACTGACCCCGTGTGTGTATCACCATTCACAGCGCACTCTCAGCGCGTTATCTCAGGGCCAGGCCTCCAACCCGAGCTTCAGTATCCACTCGGCACCAAACTCAGTGTTTCCCATGCAGGGTCTCACTGAATCCCCCCACACCCTCGGAGTAGGAACTTCTGGCAGCCCCATTCTACAGATAAGGAAAGTGAGGCTTACAGATATTATGAAGCCTGCCCAGGATCTTGTAAGTAGTATGTAGCAGAGAAGCAAGCCCAGACAGGCTGACTGCAGAGGCCAAGGTTCACAACACTGCTCCCTGTTACCTCTTAAGGCTGGTGATTTTTTCCTGTTTCAACCTTCGGAATGGGTTCCACTCCAGGTGCCCAGCTAGGAAAATAATTCCAGGGTGAAGCTGCGGTGGGACTAGGCATTCTCCAGGACCCTGACCTCCTAACCCACCACACCTAGAATGTGTGAATGTGCCTCGCGAAAGGTCACACCCAAGCGCATGTGCTGAGAACATGCTGGCACGTTCAGGGGGTCCAACCTGTCCCCCTGGCCGCCTCAGGGAGAGTGTCTGGCTGGGACCTGAAGTCAAGTCCATCTCCTCTAAGGACCAGAGGTCAGGAAACCAGATGAAAGACCATAGGCTGCTGTGGCTGGATGTGGGGAAGAACTTCCTGGGTGACAGGCAGGTTGAAATAAAAAAGGCATGTCTTGCCAAGAAACTGCATTTTAGCTCATCTGCCCCAAGAGGGAGCCCACCCAGGCTCCTGCCTCCCGGCTGCGGAAGTGTGTCTGGGGCTCGCACGCCTGCCAAGGATCCCACCCTGAGGCCTCCCTTCCCTGGCAGCCCTCTCAGCTCCTGGCTTGTGAGAGTCCCTCCTGTGCGAGCAAGCCTAGGGGAGTCCAGCCCAGCCCCAGCAGTTCTGGGGAGGCCCACTGTCCCCCTGGGATCCAGCTGGCCCCTGGGCCATAGGACCTCCCTCCTCAGCCTCTTCAGGTGCCCGGAGCTGTGCCAGCAAGGGGCGAAACACCTTTCACTCTGCAAACGTTCACCGAGCTCCACCCAGTGCCTGCCCTCCAGACCTGTAGACAGTTCTCTTGGGCTCAGTTTCCTTAATCCTAAACTAGGGGCAGTGGCATACACCTTGTCCCGCTAAAACAGATGCAAAACAATTAGCTAATTTCATTAAGGGCTTTTTCTCTGCCAGGGACTTGCCACTCATCGCCTCTTTTAATCCTTAGATGAGGGAACTGAGACTAAAAAGAAGTTAAGCCTCGGGCCCAAGCTCATACAACTAGGAAGGGGTAAGAACCAGTGTTCTTAACAACCCCATTTTATATATATATAAACTTATACATATGCATGTATATGCTTATGTAGGTATATATATGTATATACATGTATATATAATTATTACATAATTATATATAAATAACAGCATTGAGATATAATTCATGTACCATAAATTCAATCACATTATATTTGAAAAATAAATTTAATGGCTGGATTTGCCACCAAGCTTAAGGATGCTTTACTGTTACCCAACAGGAAGCTCCTCTTGGAAGGTGCATTCAGTAGTCTCAGCAAACGGAGCCAGACGAGTCCAGCCATGGGGCTCCCCAGGAGCCACCTGTGGGGCCTGTGTCTTCTCCCAGCCTCCACCTCTTTTCTTAACGCTCCCCGCTCTTCTCACCCCTCCCCCACTTTGCTCTTCATCCATCACCATCGTCTCCCTGCCCCCACCAGGCCCTGATGCTTCCTTCTGGCTCCCGGGTCTCCTCTACCCGTCCCCACTCCCTCACCCCCACCTGGCAGAGACTGAGCCACAGTTGCAGGTGCTGTCCAGGTGACCCCTTTGAGAAGTCCCCAGAGGGGTGGCCATGTGTGCAGGCAGGCCAGGGAGGACGAGCTGGCAGCAGCGGGAGGATGCCCAAGTCCATACTGCCACCATGCAAACTCGACGGATGCCCAAGTCCATACTGCCACCATGTAAATCTCCCAGGGAAACAGCAGCACTCTAACCCCAGCTCCACCACTTACCAACTATGGGACTATCTCACCGATCCCGTTTCTTCTCACTTGTAAAACGGGGATAAGAATATCTGCTCTGAATTTTAGTAGGTAAAATTCATTGAATACTTACTCTGTACTGGGCCTTTCACGAAGCTTCTTATCTAACCCACATAACAACCCCCTGAGAGGGGTAGTTATATTTACTGAAGAGGAAATGGAGGCTCAGAGAAGTTAAGCAACTTGCCCAGGTCCCACAGCTAGTACATGTAGGAGCCATGATCCAGGTCCAGCGCTGCGTGATGCTGAGCCCTCACTCTTCAGCACACCAACTGCTAGGCTGTGAGGGAGCCTATGGGATGCGTGTGTGCAAAAGTGCTTATCAACAGAAATCTCCAGAACAACTAAAGCGGAGGGTCTTTCCCCCAACTCTCAGGGCTCTGCTATATAGCCTGGCCAGTTTCCTTCCACCGAGATAAGAACAAGCGCTCCAGGGGCTACGTACCCTCCCTTCTGCTGGAGCA